TTAGTAGCCCGCACAGAGAAGGGATGAACGAGTGTATAGGAGAGCCGTGTGTATAGGTGTGGGCTCTTCCTCTCCTCCAGGTGTACCTGGCCTTGGGCTTGATCCAGTCAGAGATTGATGAGTACTTCACCGGTCCTGCCTTCCTGGCCTGGGAGCGCCTGGGTAACCTGCACACCTGGGGTGGCCCCCTGCCCCATTCCTGGCACCTCAAGCAACTCTACCTGCAGGTAAAGAGCGGAGAAGGAAAGGCAGAATGGGTGCTGAGTAGCCTCAGGTCCGGGGATGTGGTTCTTAGCTAGCCTCGGGCTCTTAACTGGTCCACAGGAAACTTCCCTCTCTGAATAAGCAAGGGCCTCGACAGCAGAGGTCCAGTCACATTGACCTCTGTCGCTCCCCCCCCACCCCCCAGCATCGGATCGTGGACCGGATGCGCTCCTTTGGCATGATCCCAGTGCTGCCTGCCTTTGCAGGGCATGTCCCCAAGGCCATCATCAGGTGAGGCTCTCCTTACTCAACTCAAAGGGAAAGGGTTTGTCCTGAAAGGCGTGATGCGAGCACCGAAACTCTGGATGTTGGTGTCACTTGACTTTGACTTCTGGTCCTGCCATCAGCCACTGTCTGGATTATTTGATGTCTGTGATTCAGTATTCTTGCTTGTAAAATGAAGTCATTGCTGGGTGTGATGGAACACTCTTCTGGTCTTTGTATTTGGGAGACTGAGGTGAGGACACCAGTTCCAGGCCAGCCTGAACTACATAGAGAAATACACACACACACACACACACACACACACACACACGCACGCATGCACGCACGCACGCACGCACACGAACACGCATTCACTTAGCACAAACAGCTGGACGTCTTGTCTTTCGTTTGAGTCTCCAGGCTGTCGCCCGATATGTTAGACTTGCTCGTGGCGCCACTCCAGCGACCCTGAGCCCTTTTTTTCCCCATAGGGTGTTCCCACAGGTCAATGTCACCCAGTTGGACAGCTGGGGACACTTCAATTGCTCCTACTCCTGCTCCTTCCTTCTGGCTCCAGGAGATCCTGTATTCCCCGTCATTGGGAGCCTCTTCCTGCGAGAGCTGACCAAAGAGTTTGGCACAGATCACATCTATGGGGCTGACACCTTCAACGAGATGCAGCCTCCCTCCTCGGAGCCCTCCTACCTCACCGCAGCCACTGCAGCCGTCTATGAGGCCATGGTTGCAGGTACAGTGGTCAACCCGAGACATCGGGAGAGGGGATGGGTGGGAGGGGGCCCCTGGTGACACCACCCTTTCCAGCCCAAGTCATTGTGCACGTGTACCCTCCCACTTTTCCACTCTGGGTGCTGCGGTCTGGCTGATACTGGCCAGTGACCCATGACCTGAGCCACACTCTTACCCTCCCAGGGTTTGTTGCTTCATCTGTGTGGTGGGACTCGCTCACAGAGCAGGGTGCCTAACCTTGTGAAAAAGCCATTGAGCACAACCTACTAGAAAGATGTTAAGCTGGGCAGTGGTGGCACACGCCTTAAATCCCAGCACTTGGAAGGCAAAGACATGTGGATCTCTAAGTTCAAGGCCAGCCTGGTCTACAGAGTGAGTTCCAAGACAGCCAGGGCAACACAGAGAAACCCTGTCTCACAATAAATAAACATTTAAGCCAGGCAAGATGGCATATGCCCGTAATTACAGTGCTTGAGAGGTAGAGGCAGGAGGATCAGGAGTTCAAGGCTAACCTGGGCTACTTGAGACCCTGAGCTACTTCAGAAGGGGGTGGTGGTGGCAGCAAGATGTCTTGTTTTTTTTTTTTTTTTTGAGGCAGGGTTTCTCTGTATTGTTTTAGAGGCTGTCCTGGAACTCGCTTTGTAGACCAGGCTGGCCTCAAACTCACAGAGATCCGCCTGCCTCTGCCTCCCGAGTGCTGGGATTAAAGGTGTGCACCACCAACGCCCGGCTCGATGCCTTGGTTTTGTAAAGGCATTGAAACCTAAAGACCAGGGTTTGATTCATGAAATCCACACAAAGATGGAAGGACAGAACCAACTCCACAAAGTTGTCCTGTGACTCCCACATGTTTATTCACACGTATGCATCACACACACAAGCAACAACAATAATAAATATTTTATTTGGAACAGGTGCATGCCTTTAATTTTAGTATTCAGGAAGCAAAGGCAGGTAGATCTCTGTGAGTTGAGGTCAACCTGGTCAACACAGGGAGTTCCAGGACAGCCGCGGTGATGTAGAAAGACCCTGCCTCAAAACAAAACAACAGAAATTAACTTGGTGTCCACCTCGTTGTTGAAATGGGTCACAAAGGCCAGAGGTTACACATCCATCCTGTCCAACAGATATGAGGCCAAGACTCCTTCCTACCGTTTAGAGAAGAGGAGGGGCCCAAATGAGGGAGAGCCCTCTAAGGGGTGCTCTGTCATCCTGAAAGGGACACAGTTGTTTATGCTTCCCTGAGCAGCACTTTCCAAGTATAATCTAAAACCAGAGGCCCAAGCTTCACTTTTAGAGTCTACCTTTCTTTCTTTTTTGCGGGGTGGGGGTGGTTTCAAGGCAGGGCTTCCCTGTGTAACAGCCCTGGCTGTCCTAGAACTTGCGTTGTAGACTAGGCTGGCCTTGAACTCACAGAGATCTGCCTGCCTCTCCCAAGTACTGGGATTAAAGGCATGCACCACTGAACCCAGCCCCTTAATTTTTTTCTTAGTTGAAAAGTTACAGCCAGGACAGTGGTGGTACACATCTTTAATCCCAGTACTCAGGAGGCAGAGGCAGGTGGATCTCTAAATTCAAGGCCAGCCTGGTCTACAGAATGAGCGCCAGGACAGCCAGAGCTGTTACACCTGTCTGGGGGTGGGCGTGGGGGTGTGACATCTATTTGTGTGTGTGTAGGTGTTCCACCCAAGGTGCACACATGAAAGACGCAGGACAGCTTATAGGATTCTGTTCTTTCCTTCCACCATGTGGGCTCGTGGATGGAGCCCTGGGTGCCAGGGTTAGCACTAAGAAGCTTTGCTAGCCGGGCCATGTCATAGACAGGCGTCTCCACATTTTATGTCACAGTGGAGATTAGGTGTAAAATTCTAATCTTTTAATCATGAACCCATGGGAAAACACACTCAAATGCTATCTAAACCCAAATACTGCCCGAATATGAGGATTCTCAGGCCCAAAGCCTGGGTCTCCTGATTGAGGAGGCCCAGAATTTGGGGCCCAGGCACCCATCCATGTCTTAAGCTTTCTGGGTAGCTCTGATGTCCAAGAAGCTGGATCAGTACTGTCCTGGAGGAGGTGGGATGGGGAGGGGGGTCCCAGTGATGGCAGGACGCAGGGGGTCATTCATGGGGGCGATGTGGCTGGTGATAATCGCTTGTTTCCTCGTGGGCAGGACAGGGCTTACATCAGCCCTTCTCTCACCGTCTCTCCTCCTTGTCCCCGCCCCCACTGCAGTGGACCCTGATGCTGTGTGGCTGCTCCAAGGCTGGCTTTTCCAGCACCAGCCTCAGTTCTGGGGCCCTGCTCAGGTCAAGGCTGTGCTGGAAGCTGTGCCTCGTGGTCGTCTCCTGGTTCTGGACCTGTTTGCTGAGAGCCGGCCCGTTTACATATACACAGCCTCCTTCCATGGCCAGCCCTTCATCTGGTGCATGCTTCACAACTTTGGGGGCAACCACGGTCTGTTTGGAACCCTGGAGGCTGTGAACCAAGGCCCCAGGGCAGCCCGCCTCTTCCCCAACTCCACCATGGTCGGCACTGGCATAGTCCCTGAGGGCATCGGCCAGAATGAAGTGGTCTATGCCCTCATGGCTGAGCTGGGCTGGCGCAAGGACCCTGTGCCGGATTTGGCGGCCTGGGTGAGCAGCTTTGCCAGCCGCCGATACGGGATCTCCCAACCGGAGGCAGAGGCAGCCTGGAGACTGCTGCTCAGGAGTGTCTACAACTGCTCTGGGGAAATGTGCAGTGGACACAACCGGAGCCCGCTGGTCAAGCGGCCTTCCCTACAGATAAGTACCACCATCTGGTACAACCGGTCAGATGTGTTTGAGGCTTGGCGACTGCTGTTGACAGCTGCTCCAAACCTGACTGTCAGCGCTGCCTTCCGCTATGACCTGCTGGATGTCACCCGCCAAGCAGTGCAGGAGTTGGTCAGTTTGTGTTATGAGGAGGCAAGGACCGCCTTCCTGAAGAAGGAGCTTGATCTCCTGCTCAGGGCTGGAGGCCTTCTGGCCTATAAGCTCCTGCCTGCTCTAGATGAGCTGCTGGCCAGCGACAGCCGCTTCTTGCTGGGCACCTGGTTGGATCAGGCCCGGGCAGTGGCTGTGAGTGAAGCCGAGGCCCAGTTTTATGAACAGAACAGTCGCTACCAGCTGACCCTGTGGGGGCCTGGGGGTAACATTCTGGACTATGCCAATAAGCAGCTGGCAGGACTGGTGTCTAATTACTACCAGCCCCGCTGGGGTCTCTTCATGGAGACGCTGACTCACAGCCTAGCCAGGGGTATCCCCTTCGAACAGCACGAGTTTGAGAAGAATGTTTTCCCACTGGAGCAGGCCTTTGTCATCAACAAGAAGAGGTATCCTAGTCAGCCCCAAGGGGACACTGTGGACCTAGCCAAGAAGATCTTCCTCAAATATCGCCCCCAGGCAGGCTCTTGGTGACAGATCAGTCATCCGGGGACCTGCTGGAACAGGTCTTCAAACCTGAAAAAGCACAGGATGGTCCCTACCCCTGGGGAAGGAGCCAGTGTCAGCCAGTGAGTGACACAGTGACTCGGAGGGAAATGAGCTGCTCTCTTCCTCCACCCAGATCTCAGGGTTAAAGTACTGTTTTCTGTTAGCAATAAACCTCTCAATCTACCTGGCTCTATTAAACTGAAGTACTATATACTTCTGGGATGTCTGGGAAGGGTTTGGGTGTACATGCGGACCCTGGTGTGGAGACGTTTCTTCCCAGCCCTCACTGCAGTTTCCCCGTCTTAACATTGGTCCCCGACTTTAGAAGGTATACAGTAGCAAGCTGGTAACCATAACCATCCCTTCGGAATACGGTGGTACACGCCTGGAATACAGCCCTGAAATGGTAGAGGCAGGAGGATTCAAGGCCAACCTCAGTTATATTATGAATTTGAAGGCAGCCTTGGGTATGAGATAGCCTGTCTCCAAGAACCATCATGGCACACATGCCTTTAATCCTGCCACTCATGAGGCAAAAGGCAGGCGAACCTGAGTGTGAGGCCAGCCTGGTCTACTTGGTGAGACCCTTTCTCAGAAGCAAGTACTGTCCCTGTGGCCAGATCCCTAGCATTGCTCAGTTTGCACCTGAGCACCTAGCTGCTGCTTGGAGAGCCGCCCTCCCCCCATGCCCTGACCAACTAAGGCAGTTTGGTATCACAACCAATGTCCTTTTCTCTGCTTTGACCCACAGCAGGGTGGGGAGAGCCTGTCAGGGACCTGGCTCAGCCTTGAGATTGCCAGCAGACACAACAAGGGGTGGGCACTGGGGGCAGGAGCAGAGCCGCGCAGATACCCAGCCCCAGCCTGCCACTAGGACCCTTCATGCTCTGAACTGAGGTCATGGACCGCACAGTAGTGCTCATAACCGGCTGCTCCTCCGGAATCGGCCTGCACTTGGCTGTTCGTCTGGCTTCTGACCGGTCCCAAAACTTCAAAGGTACAGGAGGGGACAGGCATGGAGCCCAGGGACGAGCCCCTACAGGTAAGCAGGGTAATGAGTCATTTATCCCCTCCCACATTTTAGTGTATGCCACACTGAGGGACCTGAAGGCACAGGGACCCCTGTTGGAGGCAGCCCGGGCTCGAGGATGCCCGCCTGGCTCCCTGGAGACATTGGAATTGGATGTCAGGGATTCAGAATCCGTGGCCGCTGCCCAGGCATGTGTGACCGAGGGTCGTGTGGATGTGCTGGGTGAGCCTACCTGAAACACGTCTTTACTACCCAGTGTCCAACCAAACCGGGAAGTCAGGAAACATGGGAGGACAAGCGGGGAGAGAGCAGTGCGTGAGCAGAGTCTGTTCTCTCTCCCTGCAGTGTGTAATGCTGGCCGGGGCCTGTTTGGGCCGCTGGAGGCGCATGAACTGGATGCGGTTGGCGCTGTGCTGGATGTGAATGTGGTCGGGACGGTTCGGATGCTGCAGGCCTTTCTGCCAGACATGAAAAGGCGCCACTCCGGGCGTGTGCTAGTGACTGCGAGTGTAGGAGGTTTGATGGGTGAGCAAAAGAGCGAAGTAAGGGGTGCAGAGCAGGCGAGGAGCGCCAGGGCCTCAGCAACCTTGTCTCCCCTCCTAGGGCTGCCATTCCACGAAGTCTATTGTGCTAGCAAGTTCGCGCTCGAAGGTTTGTGCGAGAGTCTAGCGATCCTGCTGCCACCCTTTGGAGTCCAGTGAGTCACCAGTCTTCCAGAACCTTTCGAAACTTGGGAACCCCAGCACCAGATCTTGGAGACACTCAAGAGCAATGCCTCTGGGTCTCCTTCTGCAGCTCACGTTGTGAGCGTGGCACAGGTTATCTCACTTCACAAGCCATCCTAGCTCTTAAGGCATACTAGGATGGGTAAACAGCGAGCAGGTGACTAGACCCCAGATGAACATGGGAGCCTTTCTCTAGCAGCATCTGGCTCTGCTAGCATCTGCCACCTGGACTCAGCCCCTCTCAGTGTCCTCCCTAAGTGAAGCTAGGGCCAGCCTTGTGGTCACCGCCACCAACCAGGTACCGCTGTTGCCCCACCCTTACCCCACAGCGTGAGCCTCATCGAGTGCGGGGCAGTGCACACCGCCTTCCATGAGAAGCTAGAGGGTGGCCCGGGCGGGGCTCTGGAGCGTGCAGATGCCCAGACCCGCCACCTCTTCGCGCACTACCTGCGTGGCTATGAGCAAGCTCTGAGCGAGGCGCAGGACCCAGAGGAGGTGACGGAGGTGGGTGCAATGGCGCCTTAGGGCGCAGTATCAGGGTGGGTTACAGCGGTGCACTCCCAGTGGCTTCCCCACAAACGGCGATGCTCCTCTCCGCAGCTCTTCCTGACGGCACTGCGAGCCCCACAGCCAGCCCTGCGCTACTTCTCCACCGACCGCTTCCTGCCGCTGGCCCGAATGCGCACAGAGGATCCCAGCGGTAGCAGCTATGTCGCCACCATGCACCAGGAAGCCTTCGCTGGCCTGCAGGCGCAGGAGGGTGCGGAGGCTGGAGCTGGAGTTCCAGGAACCCGGACACAGCCTCCAGCTCCCTCTTTTGCCTCCCCGGGTGCGCGACCCCTGGCGTGACATCTGAATTGTACTGGCCTGCATCGGATAAACTGGGTCAGGATAAACCATGTTACCAGCAAAAGAACTAAGCCAGGGTCTCCTTTTTCCTTATTTTAGAATTTGTTTTGTTTTTGACAGGGATTCACTATGTAGCCTTGGCTGGTTTCTTAACTCATGCAGATCTCCCTGCCTCTGCTTCCTGAGCATTGGAATCAAAAGCCTGTGGTCAAGATTAAGGGCTAATACGTATAGCTAGAGGCGCTAGGTTAAGTTGTCTTCTTCTTCTTCTTCTTCTTCTTCTTCTTCTTCTTCTTCTTCTTCTTCTTCTTCTTCTTCTTCTTCTTCTCCTCCTCCTCCTCCTCCTCCTCCTCCTCCTCCTCCTCCTCCTCCTCCTCCTCCTCCTCCTCCTTCTTCTTCTGTGGAGGGGGACACATTCAGCCATGGCACAGAGGGCAGGGGGCAGGCAACAACTTAGTTCTCTCTCCCACCATGGACTTCAAGGATTGGACTCATTCTTTGGGTTTGAACTGGAAATGCTCTAATGGATGAGCCTGCAAGTTGGGGAAGGTTTTAATTGGGATCAGCGCAGTCATGGTTGAATCAGTGTCTTATGTAACCCAGACTGGCTTTGAACCTGCTATGTAGCTGAGAATGACTTTTGAAATTTCTTTTTTTTAAAGATTTATTTATTTATCACATATACAGTGTTCTGCCTACATGCCAGAAGAGGGCACCAGATTGAATTGTAGATGGTTGTGAGCCACCATGTGGTTGCTGGGAATTGAACTCAGGACCTCTGGAAGAGCAGTCAGTGCTCTTAACCTCTGAGCCATCTCTCCAGCCCGACTTTTGAAATTTCTGATCCTCCCAAGCGCTGGGGATATAGACCTGAGCCACTAGGCTTGACTTCCCAGTGTGACCTCTTTAAGTGCATCCGGAGAGCCATGTGTACAAAAGGCATCGCCTCTCATGCCAGTATTCTACAGGTGGAGTCAAGAGGACTCACCAGTCTGACCTGCTGGAGAGCCTCAAGGAGAGGGAGGCGGAGAGATAGCTCAGTGGTTAGGAGCACTGGCTGCTGTGGAGCGGGCATAGCCTGGGTTCAGTTCCTGGAAACCCACATGGTGACTCCCAACTGCCCTTAACTCCAATTCCGGGGAATCCGGTGCCCTCTTCTGGCCCCAGTTGCCACCAGCCATGCATGTAGTACGCAGACATACATACAGGTAAAACACCTATAGCATAATAGTAATAATAATTAAAAACACCTGGTAGGTAGTATTCCGTAGTTTCAGAATCTGAGAGGTAAAGGCAAGAGGATCAGAAATTGAAAGAAAGAAAGAAAAAAGAAATTCAAGATCACCCCTCTACTGCATAGTAAGTTGAAGACCAACATGGAATACAAGGGAATCCAAAAGAGAAGCCAAAACACACACCACACATGCTGGGAGCCAGAGTCTGACCAATCTCTGTGAGTTGGAGGCCAGCCTGGTCTATATCATAAGTTCCAAACCAGCCAGTGCTACATATTAAAACCCTGACTTTAAAACAAACAAACAAAGGCCTAATTGTATCTCCTTAACACACCCTGACCTGGGCTGGGAGTATAGCTCAGTGGACAGACTTGATCCCTCAGAGTTTGAGGGTGGAAGATACTTTCTGCCACCTGCATCTCAGTAAGACCTAGTGTTCTACCCTAAGTTTGCAAGACTTCCTGTGATATTCCTGCATCTTTTTTTTCTTTTTCACTTTTTGCTTGTGTGTGTGTCTATGTTCCCATGTATGTGGGCAGGTGTGTGCAGATATATGTGTGCATGTGTGGAGGTCCACAGTTGAAGTCAGGAGTCTTTATTTATTGGTGCAGGGTCTCACTGGACCCAGAGCTCATGATTCCAGCTTGTCTAGACTAGCAGCTTTTCCTCAAGGGTCCCCAGTGCTGGCATTACAGGAGGACGTAAGGACAATGCTTTTGTGTGCACCTGGGGATCTGACCCCGAGTACTCTGGGCTTTACCCTGGGGATCTGACCCCGGGTACTCTGGGCTTTACCCTGGGGATCTGACCCCGGGTACTCTGGGCTTTACCCATGGGCCATCTTCCCATCCCTGCGCCCTTTGTCACCTTCATCTGTGCACACTTGTGCTCTCCTGGCCTCCTTAATACTTACATCGAGACTCGCCTTTCTGTGTAGCCATGGCTGTCCTGGAACTCACTCTGAAGACCAGGCTGGCCTCGAACTCAGACCCACCTGCCTCTGCCTCCAGAGTACTGGAATTAAAGGTGTGTGCCACCACTGCCGGGCTAGAAATTTGCCATCTTTTAACTGGTTCATTTCTCCTGATCTCTTATGGTATTTTCTTCATCAGTTCTTTGCTATTTCCCTGAGCCACCCTGCCTAAAAAAGTCTTCCTTCTCTCCAGTATAGTTCTTTTCCTCTGTTTTAGTCTGCTATAGTTAGTCTCCAGTATAGTTCTTTTCCTCTGTTTTAGTCTGCTATTGTCTGGTCAGCACCAGATGCATTCTAGGTTTATTATTTATCTCGTCACACGTCATACACGAATCCACTTCAGTGAACTTTTTTTTCTGTTATACCCTTATACTTAAGGGCAGTGAACTAAATAGACACTTAATAAAAGCAACACCGTGTAGGCTACATAGTGAGATTCTGTCTCAAAACAAGCAAACAAACAAAATGTAACTGTGCCAAATGTAAGACTAACACCTATCTCCCCAACCTTTGCTTTGACTCCTTTAAACTCCTCTCTAAAATCCAATTTGAAATGTCTCCTGCAAGATGCTTGATTCCTTAACAATTACAAGGCCAGATTTCCGGACCACGGCACATTACGGGTCTCCTCTCCGGTCTGTCTGCATCTGTCTGGTCCCTGGACTTGCTTTGTTAACTCAGGTTGATTTCAAACTTGCAGCGATCCTTCTTGGGCTCAAAGTTGGGCTCGCATATCAACGCTCGGCTCTTTTCAGCAATCTTGAGGCTGAGTTGCTTTCCTTTTTGCGATCTCCGTGGATAGTTTACCTGAGATGCTTTCTGATGGCTATCTGGCTTCCCCTCCACACCCTCGACTACCAAAATCGACTTTCCAACACTCATTGACTTTCTGGCCCTCATTAACATCGTCGGGAATCCTCACTCCTAGGATCCCCGCAGAGTTACTGATCTAACACGCTGAGTTCTCCCACTTGCCAGTCCTTGCAAACCAGAGTGTCCTACGGAAGGCACGAGACCTGTCCCTAGGTGTTTCAAAAGACTCGGAAGCCCAATTTCCCTCGTGTGGAATGGAGATGTGGTAGAGCTGTTTAGTAGCTGGGAACGCTGGCCCTGAGCAAGCACAGTAACGTGATTCCACTGTCCCTGTCTCTGGCATTAAGAAGGCCGGGATGGGTCCTGGCTTCGTCACTGTCTCCAAGCAAACCAGGGGAAGCAAAGGCCAACAGGAATCCGGGAAATGGAATTTGCAACCCGCCCTGCCCACTTCCTGACAGTCTAAGAGAATCTGGTGCCAGGGTTTCACGCAACCCCGAAGCCTCTGCGCTCAGCCCCGCCCCGCCCCGCCCCGCCCCGCCCCACCCCGCCCAGGAGGTCTTCTCGAGAATTCTGCTGTAATCTCGGCGTTGCACGGTTTGACTCCTCCGAGTTCCCGTAGCTCCGTGCTGTGCGGTCTGAGGGTAGTGCTTCCGGGCCGCAACCTAGGACGCCTCCGCGGCGGTGTAAGTAGAAACAGAATCCAAGAACTGAGTGAGTAGAGAAGCGACTCGAGCCAGAGCGTCCCCTCTAGTCCCCGCCTTCGAGTCTTCCCAAATGTCGCTTCTGTTTAGCCAGAGGGGCTAGGATTCCTGAAGCTCCAGCTCCCATGCCTCAGGGATTCCCGGCCGGTTCCCCCTGCCAGGATTCCGGTTTCTCTCGGCGAACGGTCCCCTGTCCTGCTCCAGGTCCCTCCTCCTGCGTCCGAGCTCCCCTGCAGGCCTCGGCCTCAGCCCGCCTAGTCACTCTCGCTTCGTCTCTCTGACTGTCTGCAGGCCTGGGCGGCAGCATGGCCGTATTCCGCTCTGGCCTCCTGGTGCTGACAACGCCGCTGGCCACCCTGGCCCCACGCCTGCCCCCCATCCTGACTTCGGCGGCCCGTCTGGTCAATCACACTCTCTATGTGCACCTGCAACCGGGCATGGAGTTGGGGGGCCCCGCTCAGCCCCAGGCCAGCCCTGTGCAGGCCACCTTTGAAGTTCTGGATTTCATCACTCTCCTCTACAGCGGTGCCGACCTGCACAGACAACTGGACGTCAGAATTTTACTGACCAATATCCAAACCAAGAGCACTTTCCTCCCTGTACTGACCTCAGTCCAGAATTTGGCCCACCCTCCAGAAGTAGTTTTGACGGACTTCCAGACCCTGGACGGGAGCCAGTACAACCCCGTTAAGCAACAGCTCGAGCGCTATGCCACCAGCTGTTACAGCTGCTGTCCACAGTTGTCTTCTGTCTTGCTGTACCCGGATTATGGAACTGGAGAGCTGCCTGTGGAGCCCCTGCATGCCCCCTTACCCTCCACCATAAGGCCAGCTTCCCCAGTTGCCAGATCTCCGAAGCAGCCTGTGCGTGGTCACCACCGTGGGGCCGTGGGTGGCACTTTTGACCGCTTGCACAATGCCCACAAAGTGTTGCTCAGTGTTGCGTGTGTGCTGGCCCAGGAGCAGCTTGTGGTGGGAGTAGCAGACAAAGATCTGTTGAAGAGTGAGTGACAGGGACCCTGGGTTAGGGCAACGGAGCACACCCACTAAGTTTCCTCGGCTCCCACAATGCCAAGACCAAGGAAGGGCAGGGCCACTTCTCACCCCTCCGAAGTGCCACAATGCCTGTTATTGCTGTGGGACCTCTGTTAGATGAATACATGTAGTATCCTTAGGGTGTGGTTCAGTCACCTTTACTGAAGTCAGAACAACACCCCACCCCACCTCCTACCCCTGCCATGGGAACCAAGGAGTTTGCACTTTGTGCTTTTCCAAGTGATCAACTCTGAGTTTGAAACACTGAGAATAAATGGATAGGAGATCAGTTTGGGTGACCCAGTACTGCCATGGACAGTGAGGGGACTCCAAGAATGGGTAGTTCTTGGACTTATCCACCTAGCTGATACCTGCTGGTCGGTACTGCTCTATAGACCATTACTTGGTGGCTTGTTTTCTCGAAGTGTCTGTGCTGCTTTTTCTTTCCTCCCCTTTGTTCCCCTCCCCCACAAATGGTTCCAGTTTCACCCTCTCTCTCGCTGCCACTGTCTGGGGAGATTCAGCACCCAGGGACATTGTTTCCCAAACAGGCCTGTGGAAAGGTCTCACTGTTGTTCTTGGCTCCTCCTCCAGGCAAGTTGCTCCCTGAGCTGCTCCAGCCTTACGGAGAGCGTGTGGACCATCTGAGTGAGTTCCTGGTGGACGTCAAGCCCTCCCTGACTTTTGATATCGTCCCCCTGCTGGACCCCTATGGGCCTGCTGGGTCTGACCCCACCTTGGAGTTCCTGGTGGTCAGCGAGGAGACCTACCGTGGGGGGGATGGCCGTCAACCGCTTCCGCCTTGAGAATGTAACCCCTGAAGGAGACTGGCAGAGGAAATGGGAGGGGGGGGGGCCTGTTGGAAGTACTGTGGCCCCAGGGTGGGGAAGGGAGGGCTTGGGGTGGAGGAAGCCAGAAGGAACTTGCCTGTGAGTTGGAGGAGGAGAGGGGTAGGTAAGTAGAGGGCAGATTGGGGCCCCAGATTCATCCTTTCTCCTACTCCCCTTACCTCAGGGCAAGGACGAACTTGCCTTATACCAGATACAGCTGCTGAAGGACCAGAGTCACGGTGAAAACGAAGAGGACAAGGTCAGCTCCTCCAGCTTCCGTCAGCGGGTTCTGGGAAACCTACTTCAGCCTCCAAATGTAAGCCTCCCTTCCTCCTCATCCACTGCGCGTGCTGGAAACGCTAGAGGAGAGAAACAGGCCTGCCATTGGAAATGAGCCTGCACTCCTCAGGAACTGAGGTTTCCATTTAACTGTCTCCAGAAGAGGCCGGAGCTCCCATCGGGGCTCTATGTGCTTGGGCTGACGGGCATCAGCGGCTCTGGGAAAAGCTCAGTAGCTCAGCGGCTGAAGAACCTGGGAGCATACATCATTGACAGTGACCATCTGGGCCATCGGGCCTATGCTCCCGGAGGCCCCGCCTACCAGCCTGTGGTGGAGGCCTTTGGAACAGGTACTAACTGTGGAGGGTGGAGGTGCACTGAGGTGAAAGATGACCTGGCCTCTTTGCTTAGCCTTCTTCCTCTGTCACCCAGACATTCTCCATAAAGATGGCACCATCAACAGGAAGGTCCTGGGCAGCCGCGTGTTTGGCAACAAGGTAAGCACACACCCCTCTTCAGGGGCTCTCCAGCTGCTGCCAGGTCCGAGGGCAGATGCAGCAGACTTCCCAGGCTGGCACAGGAAGTCTGTTTCTACTCATCTGCTCCCAGCCCCCACCTCCCAAGCTGCTGTGTTTCTCTGGGATGCTAACCTCTGCCCACATTCTCTGTTCCCATCCCCAGAAGCAGCTGAAGACCCTCACAGATATTATGTGGCCAGTTATTGCAAAGCTGGCTCGAGAGGAAATGAACTTGGCTGTGACTAAGGGTGAGTGGGAGGATAGCGGGAACAGCCAGAGTGGGACAGTTAAGCAGCGACTCCCTTTGGGGTCCGCTTTGGCCCCAGGCGGACCATTCACTACCTAGGGACTGTGTCTGTTGTGCTGACAGGTAGCAAGTGGCATGGTGCTTCTGGCAGTGACTAGGGTTTCCCCACAGGAAAGACTGTGTGTGTAATTGATGCCGCTATGCTGCTGGAGGCCGGCTGGCAGAATATGGTACACGAGGTGTGGACCATTGTCATCCCTGAGACTGAGGTATCTGGACCCCACTCCACCCCTTCTGAACCCACTGCAGTTTCCTGTTCTGATCCAGCAGACTGAGCTGGGATCCCTCCTGATGAGTGTGTCATCCGTACCAGGCTGTACGACGCATTGTAGAGAGGGATGGATTGAGCGAAGCAGCTGCTCAGAGCCGGCTGCAGAGCCAGATGAGTGGACAGCAGCTGGTGGAGCAGAGCCACGTGGTTCTGAGCACCTTGTGGGAACCGCAGGTCACACAGCGCCAGGTGGGTGCAAGGGCACGTTGTGGGGAGTGAGGGTCCAGTGGTTGTCTCCCTGACCCTATTTCTTCTGCCATTCTGCACTGGCCACAGGTGGAAAAAGCCTGGACTCTCCTACAGAAACGCCTCCCTAAGACTCACCAGACCAAGAACTGAAAATGGATTTTCTGTGATGCCAAACTGGCCCCTGGAACTAACAAATCCAGTGGTGAGGAGGAATGGGGGCCTCGATCTTCACCCTATGGCAGGCCTAAGGGCCCCAGGCTAAGCTGTGCAGGACACAGAGAGAAGCTGGAAGTCTGCCTAGCAGGCTGGAATTTGGCCAGCAGTGAGGACGTAGTTAATGGGGAAGCGGTCCCCTAGGGTTCTGTCCTCCTTTTAGTAGTGGATGTGTGATGTCTGCCTACTGTTGATGGGTAATCACTCGACCCGGTAGCTGAATTAAAGATGTTAACAAGCACTGCCTGTGTGGTTTCTCCTTCCTGCTCCAGTGCCTCCAGGTATCCTTAGAGTTTTGGGCTCCAAGTTCAGGGGTAAGGCCCGAGCTGGAGTCAGGGAGCTCTGTGGTTAAGTGTAGCCTGTGAGGCTAGCCAGACCGAAGTCAGCCAATCAGTGGCCAGCGATGTGCATTTCAGTATGTTAGACCTTACTGCTGTTCTGCCTATAGGCCTGCTTTCAAAGGGTTAATTCCACAAGCGCCATGTCAGACACCAGCCGGGTGTTGGGTGGCGCTGTACCCTCATTGGACTAGATCATGTGACATAGGGGAAGTTCTAGACCCTGCTGTGGTTGCCAGCCCGATCAGCTGTGCACCACTGTTGTCACGCTGTAGTGAGCGGTGCAGGGGGCTCACGGGTTTCTACCACCGAACTAGTACACTTGTAGCCCTTCTCACAATCCTTTAGAGAGGGCTCCATTGAACAGAAAATTGCCGCCCTTCTAGATTCTCATTTGGAGGCGGGCAGCGGGGGCTAACACTGCCTTCACTAGTGCGAATTGGTCAGGTTTGGGCACCGCCAGCAGGCGTTTACTATCTGGAGCCGCGCAAGCGTAGCGCTTTCGCCCCGCCCATGCTCGCGTTTGCGGATTGGTAGGTTGGATCACGTGATCAAGCCTCGCCTCTTCCTGGAGGCTGGGGGCCAGTCCGCAGGCTTGTTTCCGGTTCGGTAGGTCCACGATGACGGAGCCGGGCGCCTCTCCGGAGGACCCTTGGGTCAAGGCAAGCTCCGCGGACGCGCACGCCGGCGAGGGGAGGGCGGGTCGGGCTCGTGCACGTAGGGGGTCCGGAAGACGCGGGGCTCCCCAGCTATCCCCAGAGTCTCCCCTGCTGTCCGGTCCCCGGGGCTGCAGAGAAGACAGCTCTCACCCGGCGTGTGCCAAGGTGGGGAGACAAATGAGGCATGTGTGCGGGAACAAGGGGACGTGCCTGGGAGGTGGAGGTGGGGCGGGGACGGCAGGGACCTTGTAGAGGGGGCGGCGCCCCTGCGGCCTAGCCAGGCTGGGCTTTGGGAGAACCAGTCAGCGGCCCCCACACCCATGGTACGTGCATCCGCGGATTGCGGGTGCCTTTTCCTAGCGGCATAGGTCTAACAGGCGTCTCCCTTGCTTGATGCTGCAGGTCGAGTATGCCTACAGTGACAACAGCCTGGACCCTGGTGAGTGACTTCTCCCGCGTCTTCGCATCAGGAATGACCCGTTTCAGCTTTGTAGATCTTTGGTCTTACCAGCCACACCTGAGCACAGTCCACTGTCACTGCGCCAAGGCCCTGGCTTGAGAAGTTAGGGAGGAGAAAATCATGGGTTACACCTGGCTTCTCCGCTCTAGGACGGGAAATGATGGAAACAGTGACAGCTGGTCATGTTCATTGCATCCAGATGTCCCTTTGTGAGCCAGAAATTACAGTTCTGTGGGCAATGTAGATACTAGAGACAGGAGCATTGCAGCATGAAATGCGTGACCCGTAGTGGCCAGTTTTGGAGTTGATGGGGGAGAGATCAGCATTTGAAGCCATTGTGCCCATAGGTGACTGAGGGCCTGGCAATATTCCCCACTCCTTAGTGATCGAAGCCTCTTTTTTCCAGGGCTTTTTGTAGAAAGCACCCACAAGGGGAGTGTAGTGTCCAGAGCTAATAGCATCGGCTCCACCAGTGCCTCTTCCGTCCCCAACACAGGTAGGCAGCAACACAATCCCCCACACACCTGGGGAAACAGCTGTGCATCATCTTAGCATCTTTCCTAAATAGGGAGCTCCACTGTCCGCATGGGGTGGCTGGAGCAGTCCAAGGCTGAGTCTCAGTATCTCTCATCTCATTCAAGATCTAGGTTCTTTCCATCTCTGGGCACCAGGTTCCTCAACTAGGGAAAGATGGGCTTACTGGACTCAGTGCACCCTAAAGTGATCTTTCCCTGCCTTCATCTCTGAGTTTAGATGACGAGGACAGTGATTATCAGCAAGAGTCCTACAAGGAGTCCTACAAAGACCGGAGGCGGCGTGCTCACACTCAGGCTGAACAGAAGAGGAGGGATGCTATCAAGGTGACTAGGGCCCTGCCCCTCAGGCAGCAAGGGAGGACTCTGAATGGTTCTTCTTCACCCTGCCCTGACTAGCCTGTGCATGTACCCCTTCATCCCAACTCTATGTTTTGAGCTTCTGAGCATGGGACAGGTATCACAAGTTTGTGCTAGCTTGGCTTGTTCCTGAGTTAACAAGCCCCATTTCCCTGCTGTTTCCACAGAGAGGCTATGATGATCTTCAGACCATCGTTCCTACCTGCCAGCAGCAGGACTTCTCCATTGGCTCCCAAAAACTCAGCAAAGCCATCGTTCTACAGAAGAGTATGACTAGGGCAACTGGGCGGGGGTGTGGTGTAGTAGTGACTGGGAGTGGCAGGTAGCTGGTCTGACCCAGGCGTGGTGGCTGTAATGGGAAAGCTAGCTCACAGGGGAAGGAGAAACAAAATGAGCCATCTTCCTGGTTCAGACTTCCTCTGTTCCCAACCCCTCTCTTGGCCTCTACTCTAGCCATCGACTACATCCAGTTTTTACACAAGGAGAAGAAAAAGCAGGAGGAAGAAGTATCCACATTGCGCAAGGATGTCACAGCCCTGAAGATAATGAAAGTGTAAGAGGGGTGCTGAACTGAGGGGGTACTGTGCACTCTCCTCTTGTTCAAAGGCCGTATCAGAGGATGCATGTAGGTAATACTGACCCCGAGGTAGTCACTGTAAGGCAGGAGTCTCTGTCCCAGTCAGCCTTTTATATATAAGACATACAGGAACCATCTGTCAGGTTAACAAGGGGTAGGTTGCAGAGTTCCGTTTAGCTGGTGTTGAATGTATCCTCCAGGAGTCCTCTTCTGGGTGACCACTGGCTTATGCCACCAAGCTTCTCAGGTTGGTGGAGCTGCCGTAGCACCTCAGCCCTACTTGCTTGCATGCTTTCAGGAACTATGAGCAAATTGTGAAGGCACATCAGGACAACCCTCATGAGGGAGAGGACCAGGTCTCTGACCAGGTGAAGTTCAACGTGTTTCAGGGCATCATGGACTCCCTATTCCAGTCTTTCAATGCCTCGATCTCTGTGGCCAGCTTCCAGGAGCTGTCAGCTTGTGTCTTCAGCTGGATTGAGGAACACTGTGAGCCACAGGTATGTGACAGCAGGGCCATGGGGTCTAAGATTCTCTTAGCGCCCCCAAGCAGAGTGGTCCAAGCCATTCAGAAAGCAATGCAGGTGTCTTTGGGACCCTGCAGGGGCTCTACTAGTATTGTTTCTTCTTGCTGCCTAGCCCATGAAGTGTGCACTCTGCCAGTCCAGCTTTGGACCATGTCATTGGTGACTCATTAGCCACTCTACTTCTTAGCTGTCCTGTATGGAAGCCAACAGCAGCTACTAGAAGTTTCTAGAAACACGAAACACACAGAGTACAGGACGTCCACCCCACTGTAGACCCAGGACTTTTTAGTGTGCTGTTTTCTGCTCTTGAGGCCTGGCTGTGTTTTCTCAGATTCCTCCCGTTCTTTTGTTTCTCAACATTTTCATTGTGAAACTTTAAACACTGCAACACTTAAAAGACTGTTGCAGTGAACACCCGTGTCCACCACGTCAGTTATGCCAATGACATATTCATCTGTGTCTCTGTCTTGTTTCAGGAATATCTGAAAATTAAAAGCAGCATTCCATCTCAGGGTTTTTTTCCTTAAAAAAAGAAAACATGTTTTACGCACATGGGTGTTTTGTTTGCATCACATACTTGTGCCAGAGGCCAGAATGTGGCATTGGAGCCCCTGCAACTGGAGCTGCAGGTGTTGTGGGCCACCATTTGGGTGTTGGGAACAAGGCCTGGGTCCTCTACAAGGAGCAGCAAGTACTTTCAACCAGTGAGACATCTCTCTAGCCCTCCCCCAACCTCGCTGAGTGTGTGTGCCATAGCACACACGGAGAGGTCAGAGAACAACTATTTTGTCAGATGGTTCTGTCCACTCTCATGTGGGCTCCAGGGAGATGGACTCAGGTCGGCAGGCTTGCATGGCAAGAGGCTTCCCTGGCTGAACCATCTCACCAGCCCTCCTTGTCTTTGAGTGCTAGGAAGGAAGTGCTCCAGGCTGTCGGTCTAGCCCTGAGGTGGCTGCTTTAAATGCCCCCTTCTAGAGCATGCCTGGGCTAGGCAGCCATCTTAAAGGCCTGGGCTGTCACCTGACCATTATCTTTCCTAGACTCTTCGAGAAATTGTGATTGGCGTCCTCCATCAATTGAAAAACCAACTCTACTGATGGCTCCTGGAAACCTGCAGGGCAGAGACCTTTAATCTGTTTGGCAGTAGAACTGCTGGGCCTATGAGACTGGACTGTAACACCTCACACCGGTCAGCTGGCTTCTACTTGGTGTTTGGTTTGCCTAGCCCTACTTCAACTTCACTGAGGCTCTGCTCTGTGAAAGCTTCTCTTAATTTATTGCATTGCCTACAATGTTGGACCCACCCCAACCTTCCCCTTCCCAGGAAAAGTTCTAGGACAAGAATCTGTTCAGGGAACCTCAGGGCCCCCTCAGCCCTTTCTCTCACCATCGAGTTTCTGCTCACTATACATATAATTTGGAAATTGTTTGCCTCTGCTTGGTCTCTTGGGCAACACTTGGCTCAAGTTGGGGTATTTTGGCAGTTTTTGACGTGGAAAAAAGGAAGAGAAATTGTCCCATGGCCATGAAGGGTAAAAGGCCACCTTGTGCCTAGGCTACGGCTATGTGGTCAGTACTGAGTCAGGCCAGGGCTGTCAGCTTGGGGTAGGGCTACCAGGGTCCTGCTGTCCCCTCACATTCAACAACCGACTGGATGCTAGAGGAAGCAATGTCCTATCAGCTCTTGCCCCATTTCTTCCCAAATAACAATAGTGCGTTTTGGTATAGTTTTCTAAAATTCTGACTGGGCCTCTAAAGCACCCCAGCCTTTTCTGTGTAATGTACCTGTATCTACCGCCTCCAGTGTGTTGCCTGCGTTTCTCCTAGGACTTGGGGATAGCTGCAGAAGACACTCAGGTTGTCTGGGGTAGGCTTGGGGATTCTCAAATGTTGGTGTGTGACAACCTTTCTGTACTTTTCTCTCCCATGTTCCCTTCCCCAGGTTTGATATCTGGGGGGTTTGATAATCCAGAGAAAATTAAGTATTTTTATATCAAATTATATTACAATAAATATTCCATATACTTTCCTTTAGGATTGTTATGAGTCCTTGTTGAGGCCTCTGTAATATGGAAAACAAAGTGAACATGACCATCTTTCTGATTATCATCTTTGTACTTATCTCCCCACCCTCAAAGGTGGAGAACAGAAAGAACAATGAGGTCACCTAAACAAGGTAGGTCACCTAAACAAGGTAGCCAGCCCAGAACATCTGCTGCGGGTTTCCAAGGACCCCTCAGGGGTCTGGGAGTGTAACATTATGATCTTCATCTGTCTCTATGCCAACTTCCTCCTGTGGGGCAAGGAAAGAAATGAAGGGAGTCCTCTGGGCAAAGATCCCAGGGGAGTAAGAGAAAGAGTCACTTACAAAGAACTGTTTCTTGCTCTTGGGGTATCCTTCAAGGATTGCATCACACAGCTCGGTGGTCTGACAAGAAACAAAGCCCCCTTCAGATGGGCGGTAGCAGCACAGGACACTGCCTACTGGATCATTTTGCACAGAAATTCCCTGTAATTGTAACTTCCACAGCACTTTGGAGCCACCTTGGAGGTCTCACTCACCATTCTCTTCCGCTTCCTCCACTCTTTACAATACTTCTGCCTTTCTCTGTACACCTGCAAGGAAGAAGCATGATCGCCTGTGCGCCTCATGGTCACTCAGACCCGCACAGGCGCGCGCCTCCCGGCTCACCTCCTCTCTCTCCTCTGGAGTGACGTGGTTGGTGGCTGCTTTGATGTTCTTCAGTCTCTCTATGTAGTGAGCACACTCCTTCTTTAACTCCTGGATCTCCTTCTGCATCTCAGGAGTGGTCAGCGCACTTGTTAATTCCTTCAGCTCTGAAACCACATGTCCCCCAAGTTACCAGGTGAGGAAGGGATTCTGTCCTGCCCAGCAGGTGCTCCACAGAGGAGGGAGAGCAGCTTCTGTCTTGCTCTAGAACCTCTCCAGGGCAGGACCCCACATTCTGGAGAAGCTCAAGAAAAAGGCTTACAACATAATTGTTTGCTATTTTTCTTTCCTTCTCCATGTAAAAGCAACAGTGGCATGTAGTGTTGGGCAGACTGATGCACAGGTAAGTGAAGAAATGGAAAAAAGATGCAGGGTGCTCAACAGGGCAAGGAAAGCACGTGGCTTGCTCGTCTTGCCGTGTTGTACGCCAGCCACAGGTGGTCGGCACTTCTTTCAGCGTAACAGCCCACCTGGCAAAGGGCCCTCGTTGCAATAGACAGTGCAGATAACCATGCTGCTAACAATTTGTGACCTCCAAGCCTTAGCACCTTGGAAGGGATTCCCAGTCTTACCAGCTTCCATGTGGCGGCAGTTTTGCTGTAAGCTCTGCACCTTGTCGGTGAGGGCCACAATTTTGGCATCCAGGCTGTGGAGGTCGGCATCACTCACTGTGTCAAACTGGTCCTACCAGCCAAGAGGAGAGGTGAGTTCATGTGAGGCACAAAGATAAAAGAGGGAAAACCGAAAGGCCTGTCCTCAGGTTGGCAAAAACTATAACCCTGAAAATGGGTGTGTAGGCCCATGCCTTTCATCCCAGCATTTGGGAGACACAGAAGGTGGATCTGAGTTTGAGGCCAGCCTGGATTATACAGCTAGTTCCAGGACAGCCAAGGCTATGTAGAGAGAACCATGTCTCAAAAACAAACATGAGAAATACATTTCTATTTAGTGATAACAACCACTCATCGTCTAAGGGAATGAAGCTGTTCCTTCTGAAGTGGAGAAACGTCTCCAGTGGGAGAGACTCTGTAAGGAAGGGGAAGGGGCCCCTTGGGAAAGAGCTGCTAGAGATCAACAGCCACCTCATCAGCTGATGCTGGGGAGTGGCTGGAAAGGGATGGGAATGCCAGACCAAGTAGTTTGAACGGTGTGCTTGGGCAAGGTGAATCTGAAAGCGGGAGCCACTACTCAGACGCTGCATGTGAATTCTGCAGCCACGTCCATTCATTTGCATCATCTATGGCTGCCTGTGTCTTACAATGTCAGAGCTAAACAGTGAGACCAAATGCCTGGAAAGTCTAAAAATAGTCACACCACTGAGCCATTTGACCAACCCGGTTTGCATCTAGATAGATCATTCCGGCTACAATATCTAAGATGAAATGTCAGTACACAATAGACCAGAGGGTCTGATGGGGAGCAGTGAAAACAGGGTAGATTAAATAAAGAAAAACATTGAGCCACCCTGGCAAAACACATAATGCATTTGTAAACTCAGCACTCAGAGGCTGAGACAAAAGAGCAAGTTCAAGGTTAGCCTGGGCTACATAATGAGAACCCAAGAAAAGGAGTAGATCAGGGGAAACTAATTGGTAAATGACCATACTTGTCAGACAGGTGAGATGAAAGAAACCAAGAATTGAGGCACAGTGGTTCCCTTACCAAAGAATGCTAGGAAGCTAGTTGGGGGGGGGTTAAGTATTCTACTTTGGCCATGTTAATACTGACACTTAATATTTGAGAGGCATCCAGAGACAAGTTTGGGAGAGAATACACATTTGATGTGTTTGGGGTAGTGGCAGAGGAAGAAGAAAAAAGAGTTTGGCAGAGGGTGGGTCTAGATGAAATGATAGTAAGGCCTTCTAAGTGAAAATGAGGCTACTAACAAGCCAGGGCATTCTGTTGTCCGTACCTCAAATGGACACTGATAAAATGTGATCACAGTGTACAACTGATTTAAGAATGTCTGGTGTCCTTTTATGGCACAGGTTAGGTTAATTTTGTGAGACGACACAACACTCCTAACTAGTCAATGCTGGGAGTTACTCGCTCAGGCTTTCAGGTGGGCAATAATCTGCGGGCGTTCTCACCTGATCTGCAAAGTAAATTTTCTGCTTGCCGTACGTCTTCTCCTTGATCTTGCCTTGCTGGGCCAGCTGATCCAGAGCCTTCACCACCGCCTGGCCGAAGGGAGGGCGGAGCAATTAGAGTAAACAAGGGCAGGGTAGGTTTCTGCTGGTGACAGGGAGGGAGAAGGGGACCCAAGCTAATAAGGGAATTCAGCAGGGAGGGAGCCCCCCAGAGGCGGGGTCTCACCGCCTTGCCCAGCCCATGCTCCTTCTGCAGGTTTCCGAACACGTCCTGGGCGCTGTAGGGCCGGTTTTGTTCCTGCAGGTACCTCAGGATGATCCCGGGGGCTGCGGGAGACAAGGTAGGAAAAGGGCTCACCTCTGGACTCCTGGCCCGCACCCCTCCCGGGTCCTGCGGGCGCCGCCGTTACCTCCAGCCGCAGCCTCGGCCCGGCTTTTACTCATGGCCTTTCCCGCCACTCAAGACAGCGGTCTGGTTGGTTGCTCCGGGAGATACTTCCTTCCGGTGAAGGGGGAAGGTCTTAACGTTGATTGGCCGTAGGGAAGTCTTCCGGAAAAGCGCCCGAACCTTCCGGGACTCCGTAGCTCCCTCGGCCGCTGTCTAGAAGCTTAGCCCGCGACCTTTGCGGCAAGTCTGTGGCCGTCCCCTGGGCCCTCCGCGCAGGCTGTAGTGAGCGGCCCCTTCTCTTTCAGGCCACCGTGTTTGAGCACTCGTGACCTTGAGCTAGGCCCAGGTGGTGTCGGAACGGAAACTTCAGGGGCCCAACTCCCGCGCTGCTCAGGGGCACAGGGCTAGTCACTCACTTGGGAAGTGGGCCTGTGGGTACTCGGCAGAGAGCGACTGTGAAAGCAAGCACACCTACACGTCCGTTTCCGTGTGCGGCCTGTAGGGGGCGCTCGGCACCAACTGTGGTTTGAATGCCCGAAGGGACGGTTGGGAGCAGAGGCTACTCAAGCCACAAAGCTTGAAGTCGCCAGTTAGCCCAGGCAGCAACACCTGACAGGTGCTTTCCATTCCTGACCACAGTGGTCAGTCCGGTGGAGCCTGAAATAAGTATTTCTAGTTTCTGAGGTCTGAAGGTCAAAGAGCAGCTGTCTTGCAGTTCAGAGTCCCGTGGAGGGGCACAGTATTAATTTTTCAAGCCTTCTGCTACCTACCTAAAACCTCATTAGCCTTTCTTCAAAACATGTCTCCACTTGTTTAAAGGAGAATGCTAAGAATTAAAAATGAAAGCTGGGTGGTGGCGAACGCCTTTGATCCCAGCACTTGGAAGGCTGAGTGAGCTTGAGGCCGGCCTGGTCTACTGAGCAAGTTTCAGGACAGCCTCCAAAGCTACAAAGAAACCCTGTCTCGAAAAACAAAACAAAACCCAAACAAACAAAAAAGAATTAAAAATGAAGCCAGGCAGTGGTAGCACACACTTTTAATTCCAGCACTTGGGAGGCAGAGGCAAGTGGATCTCAATGAGTTCGAGGCCAGACTGGTCTACAAAGAGAGTTCCAGGACAGCCAGGGCTGTTACACAGAGAAACCCTGTCATGGAAAAAAAAATTAAAAATGATGGAATAATGAGGCTGGAGAGTTGGCTCAGCGGTTAAAATCACTTGCTCTTCTTCAGAGGACCCTGGTTTGGTTCCTAGCACCACCCATGTGGCCGCTAATTGTAACCCCAATCCCAGGAGATCAGACTCTCTTTTCCACAGACACCAGGCAAATCGTGGTGTGCACATGCATGTGGGCAGGCGTACTCATACATAAGAAAACAAATCTAAAAAAACAAAACCGATGGGACCAACACCAGCAGGGGTGTTGTCTTGGTTGTAGCAGGGAGAGTGTCTTCATGAGGGAAAAACAGGAAGGAACTGGGGCCCCTGACACCTACCTGAGCATCCTCTTCTGAGGTTGTCACTGCCTCAAATTAGCTATTACCTGATTAGTGAGAGAAGACCCATCACAGGAGTACACCATGCAACGGTAGTCCTTAAAGATTGTTCTTATACAAGATTTATTCCCCAGCACCCACCCCCCACCCTCCCCCAATTCACAGTGGAGGATTCAGGAGATTCAGAGCAGGATCCCACTGGTACAACAAAGACCTTCTGGATTTTGCTCTCCTTCCCTCCCTCTTCCTCTTGCCAACTCCCAATGCATGAAGCTACACACATTCATGCAAACACGCAAAATCCCACTCCTTTCCCTCACCTCCCGTTTTTTTTTTCCCCACGTAGAGCTCACCTGTAAGACATCTGGCTTTAAGGAAAGAGATGTCCAAAGCATTTGAGAACCCTAAAGTGGGGAGATGCCATGACCCCTAACTTCCGCACTCAATGTCTATGAAACAGCCATCTAGCCATTCCCTTCTCACTGTGAATTATTTTCACTCCCTGGCCTCTGTAACTTGTCCATCAACCAAGAGCAAACACGTTAGCACAACCCCCAACCTGCAGCACATGAAAATGGGCTCTGTCCAACGTCCCTCACCCAAATATGGGGGTGCTGGGGGAGTGGTCCCTGAGGATCAGCAAAGGGTTAATGCAAGAGGAGAAAAGGATAGAATTTGGCTTGAGCTCTGATTTGGGAGACAGAGAGAGGCAGTAGACTGGCGAAGGTTTAGAACCAATGATTATTGGGGGGGGTTGTTTCACATAATTTGACGAGGGACTGCAGAACACACACCCTTCAGAGGGGGCTCCGCTGATTACCTCCACATCTTTCCTATCTGGGTTCATCCTAAAAGGGTCAGGAAGCAGACGGTAAGAAAGCTGGTGCAAGAAGAGCTGGTGGCCCCGGGGATGAAGACCACAGCCATTTGTAAAGTGCTATTTGCCGCCCCTGTGGGATTATTGCTTCTCCAGAGGAGGAGCAGGGGAAGGAACAGGAACATAAAAATGGGATGATATTGCTTTGATCACTGCTCAGACAGATGGTCAAATGGAGCCAGGGGTTAACAGCACCGAAGACAACCACATAGCAGCTCCTGAAGATTCCATGAGACCTCAAGACAGAGAGGCACCCAACCAACCCTACCAGCCAGCTGATCCCTAAGCTCGAGGTGACAGACAAGAGGCTCAGCCCCACATCAGGTTCACGTTTCTTAAATTCTGCAAGCACTTCACAGTGCTGAGGGTCAGCCATCGAGAAATGAAGATGGGCTCAGGGACAGGAAGTGGGCCTGCTCTGCAGAACCAAAGGACAAACTTACTTTGACAACACAAATCAAATCATGGTAAAAGACAAAGATGACAACTCTTGTAGCTGCTGCCTGACTTCTGTGGCTCCCGTGAGGTGAGGAGAAGAGATGGGCTCTTGTGTCAGTGAGGGCCCCTGAGCACCCATACTAAAAGCAAACAGCGCTACCGCCTCAATATTAACTCCTCAAGGGGAATCAACACCCCTCCTCTGTTGCCTGTAGTACCACCCTAATGCAGAGAAGTCTCCCTTGGGGGAGCACGTTCTCACTTCAATGACTAAGCACAAAAATGTGTCTAGCTGGCAGCAAGGTAATGAGTATGTTCTCTCAGCAGGCCTCTGCGTCAGCCAGGCCACCCAGCACACAGATAAAATTCAGGGGACAAGACAGGGTTCTTCCCTTGCCCCATCACAGTGAGTGGGGAGGGGAGAAAAAACCCTACATCACAGTGGCCCCCTCAAAGGAGTCTCTCCTCAGTGGCTCCTGGAACTGGCAGGGTCTAGCTGATTCAGCTCTGATTGGTCCAGAAGTTCAAAATCATCTCCCTCAGCATCAGTGTCCAGGTCTGAACTAGGGGCCCTGAGGAAGCCTCTTGTTGCTCTTCGGGGAGGTGGGCCAGAAGGATCTGTCTGGGAGGCCCCTGACAAGGCCAGCTGGATCATGCCCTGGGAGACCAGGCTGGCAAGGTTGCTGGTGAGGTTAGATCCTCCAGGAAGGGAACCAAGCAGGAGCTCTGGCAGTGCAGCCTCGTCCCGACCAGCAGGCAGGACCTGGGTATCCCCAGCCCCTGGGGGGGAGCGGTACATCACGCTGGGCATCCCAATGCTGGTGTCGTCCTCATCGTCCAGGCCAGCAGGATCCACATTAATGGAAGGGAAGTCTGGAAGGTCTCTGGCAAATGATTCCTCGGGATCACTGTGACCATCTAGGTCTGAGAGAACACAGGTATGTGAAACATGATAGTTACTTGGTCTCGTGTCCCAGACTCACAAAAAGTTATCCCCTACATAACCAAGTTTCTCCCACCCTATATCTTTGTTTTATTTCAGACAGGGTTTCTCTGTGTAGCCTTAGCTGTCCTGAAACTTACTCTGTAGATCAGGCTAGCCCTAAACTCAGAGATCTACCTGTCTCTGCCTCCCAAGTGCTGGAATTAAAGGTGTGTGCCAGTACCACCCAGCTTCCAAACTCTTGTATTTCTTAAGATAAAGCAAAACTTGTGGAACTGGTTAGCTTTTTGTCATCACTCAGATGGCCACGACTACTAACTGCCAGAGAACTGCCTGTTTTCCTATACTGTGTCCATGAGGCTGGAGGCAAAGTCTAATAAGGGACTCCGGGCTTCAAGAAAAGCAGCAGGCCGGGCGTTGGTGGCGCACACCTTTAATCCCAGCACTCGGGAGGCAGAGGCAGGCGGATCTCTGTGAGTTCGAGACCAGCCTGGACTACCAAGCAAGTTCCAGGACAGCCTCCAAAGCCACAGAGAAACCCTGTCTCGAAAAACCAAAAAAAAAAAGAAAAAAGAAAAAGAAAGAAAAAAAGAAAAGAAAAGAAAAGCAGCAGTACCATACCACACCCTGACTCTGCTACTTGAGCCATAACCCAGGAGGGGAGGGGACAACAGTAAACCCCTGTCCAAGGAAACTACAATGCAAAAGTCAGACTTATATCAACTCAGGTCAAATCTTCTCACCTTCTGAGCCTTCTGTTAGAGGTGTTTGGCCCCGTGACAGGTTAAATGTGCCATTGTCTGTACAGGAGACCTCGGCATCAGAGTGCTCCGAATCTGTGATAGCCAATTCCCTGGCAACGGTAGAATCATCCAGCTTAGAAAAAGAAAACACCAAGTCTGAGATAATGTCATCAGTAATTCAAGCCCACCAGTGACACCAAGGATGGATGGGAACTGCACCCACAATCTTGACTCCTGTTAGGCTGCTTCCCTTACTAAAGGGAACATTTTCTCATCAACCTTTTGAGCTCCGGCAGTCTTAGGTAACCAAAAAATATTAACCAAACCTCTAGGCAAACTGGCTGCTGAAAAGACTTATGTCAATTCCAAGTTTTTCCATGATGGTAAAGTAAAAAGAAACCCAAGCGAATGTGCTGTTCACCAGGCCCATACAACATCAGGTTCTCTCCTCAAAGCTGCTACTGAGAGAGTAAGGGAAATCTAGGGTCCTTGAGGGTCTTTGATGGGCTTAAAACCTAGTTACCATCTAAATGTGAGCTGCCAGACAGACAAAGAGGAGTTTTAAAAATGGGCCAGTAGAGCAGCTCCCACACACAAGATACCTGAGGACAGAAGGCAGCAAGCTCCTCTTCACTGTCACTGTGGTTGTCCAGGCCACGCTCTGGGTGTAGAGCTCTCCGGCGCACTATGGGGAAAGAGCAAAAGACCTTGATGCCTTCAAGGGAAAATCTCCCTTCAGACTCCAAAAATATCACGACATAAGAAAAGGCAGCCAGGTGGTGGTGGCGCACGCCTTTAATCCCAGCACTCAGGAGGCAGAAGCAGGCAGATATCTGTGAGTTCGAGGCCAGCCTGGTCTACAGAGTGTGTTCCAGGACAGGCTCCAAAGCAATACAGAGAAACCCTGTTTCAAAAAACCAAAAAAAGGGAGAAAAAATGAAAAGGCCCTCTAGGTACAGCCCTAAGTCTGCATAGCAATGTCTGAAGGAAAGGATGCTGAGGCTAAGTAGTAACACATGAGACTACATCTTCCTCCAGTGCCCTTGTTTTCCAAGCCCCACACATATCTACATTCTGGCTAGATGATAGACTACCAAACCACCCAGCAACTCCTGAGGATCTGCTAGGAGCAAATACAAAGCAAAGTGATATAAGTGGGAAAAGTCATAGGAAGGAGAAGGGAGGGGCTCACCTGGTTAAACAAGGCTTTTAGGGACTGATATTTTTCAACCAGTTGGCCCAGAGAAAGATGGTGCCCACATACCAAAGAGAGGGACAAGTTTACAATAGCCTCTTTGGGTTATGTAGACTAAGGCTAGTAGTGCACTGTGGCATCTGTTTTCAATCCACTTTAGCAAACAGCTTTCAATAACAGAAAAAAGGCTTAA